CAAATAACTTTTAGTAAGCATAATAAAATAATAAAACAATAAAACAAACAACTACTATAATAATAATTAAAAAAATTTATATTAATAACAATTAACCAATCAAATATAGTTTTACAATTCTAGTCATTATCGCTATAGCACATTCATGTATTTTTAAGTGTTGACTAGACTATAAAGTGTATCAATTACTATTTTTTTTTGTTTTTTTTTGATATTTCTTATTGTAAAGTTATAGATAACATTTGACCCATCTTCAAATAGGAAGATGGGTTAGACTAGAGATGTAAACATTTAAAAATTTAGGGGTAGCTACCCTCCTAAAAATATGATAGCAAAATGGCACATTTGCTGTATAAATAAATATGCTATATGCCGTATATGTGTCATATGTCATATAAGTGCCATATGTCACATAAGTGCCATATACCACATGTCGTATAAATCCTGTATGCCATATAAATGCTATATATTGCATAAATTCCATAAGCCGCATAAGTACTGTATGTCATATGATATATAAGTACTATATGTTATATGTTGCATAGTATAAATGTGCATGCTCAAAAACTGGGTTTGGTCCGGTTTTTTTTTGATATTTATGTTCTCGAGTATCTCAATCGGTTGATTAAACAATTATCATGATGATGCTCAAGCATCACAATTAATTACATTATTTATATAATTAAATGTCTGAGTGTATTTTTTCTACTTTCATGATCTTTATTATGCCACCTAAAAAGCATGCCAAACAGATTTAGGCCTTCTTTGCTAAAAGGCTTTTAAATTTGAATATGCAAAAAAACAAAATTGTAGTATTCATTATGGTTTGGTTAAATGCTAAAAGATGGACTGTATTTATTATCATCTATATCAAGGCATCGATTATTTATTTTAAAAGATTCTATATAGCAATTAAAAATAAAATGACTATTTTTTGGATCGGGTAGAATTCAATACTTGACCACCCTTCATTAGTAATAAATTATATATTTGAACCCAAGTCAAATAACTTTAATTATCATAGCATTCAATTTTTTTGTTGAACTAGTTTGAACAGTTCTGAACTAATTTTTAAAAAGCCTGGTTTGGACCTGATCCCTGCATAAATCGATAAGCATTCTAAATTCACTCCAATCTTAATCTTAAATTGCATATTGGTTTTTTGTTAGTACGCAGATGGTTTCTTTTGAAATTAATTATTCAAAAATAAAGTGGTTTTCTGTTTTTACGTTATGTCTTATCTTACTGATTGGCCAGAATTAAACCTTGAGTAATAGTAAATAGGATATTAATATGTGTGTTTCTAAATTAAAATATGTAAATATTCAGTTTTTATCGTATCAATATCAGATAGAGCTCAACACAATTATGCAAAAACTTGATAAAACCAAATATAATAGTACAACTATATATATGGTACTTAAAATCATTAATATTTGGTCTATCAGGTATTCGATATCAAGTTTCTTGATATCAGATTAATTCCTGAACAGATTATAGAAAAATAACACAAGAATATCTATACTATAAATATTATCAAAGTAATACATACATATGTACTATATATTAAAATAATCAGAATGGTGATTGCGTATATACTTTAAATATACAATATCACAATTTTCTAGGATTAAGTTCAGAAATAATCAAACTTAAATTTTTTTTACAGGTTTAAACTTGGCAATCCTTATATATTGTACTAATATAGGATTCCTTAAATATCTTGCAGATAAATTTGCATATAAAAACCAATAATTAGATAATGATAATTATAGGTATAAAATTATATACAAGCAAATCTCTTTAATTATTGATTTTTGTGTGCAAATTTGTCTGCAAGATGTTTAAGGAATCTTATATTAGCACAATATATAAGGATTGTTAAGTTTAAACCTGTAAATAAAAATTTAAGTTTGATTTTGTCTCTATAGCTAAAAATTTGATACCACTATTGAAAATATAAATTTATATATACAAGCAGATCTTTTTATTTTCAATAGTGGTATCAAATTTTTAGCTATGAAGACGAATGAAAGAAATTTACAAAAAAGAAATAGAGAGTTAGTGGAAGAAACAGAAGACAGTTCAGAATTCGAGGATAAATATACAACAAATCATTCTAATATTCAGCCTTCATCTAAAAATAAAAAATCCAAACAGTTTTCTGAAATATAGGATTATTATATTAAGGGAACAGAAAAAAGTCATGGGCATTATGAAGCTACTTGTTATTATTGTGTTTCTAAAAAATCCTGGTCGAGAGGAAAACCAGCCAAGCTAGAAGCACATTTAGCAAACGATTGTTCTAATTGCCCTGACAATATATCGTGATATTGGTGAGAGAAAGTAGCAGAAAGAAATTCTAATTATACACGAAGAAACAAAAACTTACCAAACCAAATGGCAATAACTTCTTATTTTTTATCTGATTGTCCATTACCAAATGCTGCAGTTAATCAACTTGATCAAAAAATAATTAAAGCTTGGATAATGGCAGGAATTCCTTTCGAGGTTATTGAAAACTCATTCATTAAAGATATGTTTAAAGAATTTTTACCTGCATATAATCTGCTATCAAGAATAACTTTATCAGGCTGACTACTAGATGAAGAAATAGCACAGGTTAATTGTGCAATTGATAAGGAAATAGATAAAGCCGACTATTTAACATTAGGTTAGTATATTTTTGTTTGTGTATGTGAAGTAAAATAAGTTGTATGATTTGCGCAAGGCATAAGTGATCTTATTTAAATAGATGACGTATTTATTTTCAAATAAGTGATGTAACAATTTTATTTTAACTTTAATTTTCACTTAATTAAAAATTACCGTATAGTCTAGAGTGTCAGGGTACTGCAAAATTTTGTTGCAATTATCGTTAAATTGGCAAATTCCACAGTGATGTATAAGTAATACTTTAAAAAACAAAATTACAACAAAAAAAAAGCCTAATTTTATCTAATCTTATCACAAAAGGCTATATTCACCAATAATTTTTATTCTGTGTGGTTTCTGCTACCGCAGTACCGCAGTACCCTGAACATTCTAGTGTAGCTTGATCATATTATCCTCTTATATCAAAGCACCTTTTTCAAAAATTATTCATATAATCAAATGCAAAATACCCAGAAATATATATCTTATGTAAAAAAATTTTTATATGAAAAGTTTTCAAGTATAATATCCAGGTACTAGGATTTTGTGTCATATCTGGAATACTATACAGTACTTCATATATCATATAATTTGTGCAACAATTATTTTTTATAAAGTAGTATGCTGAAATTATACATGTATAATTTATTAATAAACAAATGATTGAAATAATATGCAGATGCATATATTGTTGCATATTATTAAATTGTATTTATTTTGTTTGGTAAAGCTTAAGACGGCTTGATGTCGCTAACAATGGAGTCAATTTATAATTATATGATTACAACGGATACATGAAAATAATATCTGATCAATTTAAAAAATTATTCTTTACATTCTCAGACAGGTGAATTTTTAGCAAATGAAATATCAAGTATTATTGAAAGACTTGGCTTGGATAAGTTTGCAACTGTTGTAATAGATACGGCTTCAAACTGTAACTTAGCATATCAAAAAAAGCAAGCAATGTATCCACATATTTGGAATGTGTGTTGTGCGGCGCATGTGATCAATCTTATTGCTGCTGATTTGGTCAAATTGGACCAATTAAAAAAACTAATAGCTAATTGTAGAAAAATTAATAATTTTTTCAATTCTTCCTATTCGAGTCATTCATTGCTTATTAAAGGATTTACGGATATAAAAATTAAAGGTAGCAGACTAAAAACTTGGATAAAGACTTGCTGGGGGTCTTTATATTGTACTACTGATTCAATGCTTCATGCATGGCCCGTATTTGATTGGGTAAATATAATTATCTCTATAGGGTCTAGTACAAAATCCAGACACCCAAAATCTCAACAGGTCATAATCCTGATATCATGCGATGTGGCAATTAAAATTTTGAAGTTTGACAATGATTGTTAATATGATTACAATCTTTAAATATTAATTTTCACATTGCGTGATGTCAGTATTATGGCCTGTTGAGATTTTGTATGTCGGAATTTCATACTAGACTCATATCTATATATGTACATATTTAAATATTTTTTATTATAATTATTAATAAAAATAATTTTTAATTTTTAGTTACTTTCTGAGCATAATGGTTCAATTACCAATCAAGAAATAGCTAATTTAATGGCTAATGAAGACTTCTTTATTATGTGTCAGTTTGTGCGTTCTGTTTGGCAACCAATTAAAGAAGTGATTTATGCACTAGAAACTAATGAAGCAACATTAGCTGATTGTTTTGCTTATTTAATTAAATTAGCTGCAGCTATTGAATGCTTGCCTAAAATGAATGCATTTAAGAATCCTGCAATTCATATTTTTAATCGATGATATGATAAATTTTTACATCCACTTTACATTTTAGCATATTACATTCATCCACAATATAGAGGTATGCATAATTAAGTATATGTATATTATTTAACATCCTACGTATTAGCAAGCAGGTTTTGAAGATCACTAACTAAATATATATATTTTTATTATAATATTGTATATTAAATATATATGTATCAAGGTAGTTATTAGTTTGATTTATATGTGTATATTGTACTCCAGATTGGAATCATCTCGATTCAGAATTGAACTGCCCCAGATAGAAATCTTGTGAATTATTTTGGCAGAATTAAAGTTTTTAATTTTAGCTAGTATAATTCAGGTCAAAATTACAAAATTCTCATCCAGGACAGTTCTGAATAGGGTTGTAATACAAAAATTACATTTTTACATTTCATGTAAATTTCAGAAACTTGATTTTCATATAAATTTCATGCATAATATGAAGTATCAGCATTATGAGAAACTTAGCTAGCATTATAGACTTTGCATAAAGTTTACTGATCAAAAATCGATAACTATGACCCAACCAATCACATAGAATCATATAATAGTATGATTTTATTTCTTACAAATTACATGAAAATTACTACCGAAATTTACCCTAGTTCTGAATCAGAACAGATTCCAATTCGGGTACAACATATATATACTGTATATACATCATAATTTAAATAATTTATAAATTTTTAGGAAAAGGTCTAAAGGATAGTGGGTTTCGTAAGGCAGCTTTTACATCTCTTGAACTCTGGCAAAATCTTGGGCATACTCAGTTGGAAGGTGAAGAACTAATTGCGCAAATGTGATGGTTTGAAGCTCGATTGCCACCATTCGATCTTTCTTATGTTTCAGGCACAGATACTCTAAAACTTTGATGGAAATCTTTTAAAAATCAACCTCGACATTTAGCTGAGCTAGTCTATAGAATATTTTCAATTAATCCTATACAAGCTAGCTGCAAAAGAAATTTCTTATCGTTAAAGTAGATTTTAGAAGATCATAGAACTAATCTGGATATAAATAGACTAGAGGGAATGTCTAAAATTAGATCTTACTATATGACAAATATTCGGTGTGAGCTTAACTATTCTGATAAAGAATTAGCAGAGTCAGATCTTTGACATGCATGTAATATATCTTCAGTTGGTACTGTTATGAATTATGAGGAGGATCAAATAAGAGTTAATGATAAGACTTTGTCATATAACATAGTATCTAATTATTCTCCAACTTTATTAATTGAAGAGATTATTGACTTGAAGACAAAAAACAATTCGAAATCTTCTGTAGTAGAAACAGCTCAAGCTGTCTTGCCTGAGGATTTAGATTATAATCCTTCTGACGTATTAAATAATTTTTTAGAAGGTGAAAAGCAGGCAGAATAGTTTATACTATATGCTCAATTTAATAATAAAGATCATCAAATAAATGTTTGAGGTTTAATAAATTCTACTATGTAAGAAATTACAAAATATTTATATTTTAATATGTACGGTAAGACACTTTTAATACATATTAGTATTTTAGATTATTTTCTAAATTACGTCAATTAGGACTAACATAATACAGATGTATAATGTGCTTCCATAAATTCTTCCCAGAAAGGATTTTTAATAGCTGTACATACATACGTACAGTACGTAAAAGAATACCAGTTAGATAGAAAAACTGCTAATATATTATATTTACATTTTATTACATAATAATTAACCTTTTAATCAGTCATGTACAGGGTAAAAAGCAACAGGAGGAAACATTAATGTTACACATTTATTAAAATTGGTGATGGATGATATCCATCACAATTAAGGTTAATATAAATAATCCGAATCGTAATTGATCACAGATGTGAGGAATTCACTTTGGACTGAGTACGTTTCTTGTTGTAAAAAGCACTTCCACATAAGGCAAAATTATTATACTGTAATGTGTTTTTCAACTATATCACTTTTGTAAAGTTTAATGGATTTCTTTTAAAGGTCTTCCATGAACATGAAACATTATTTTGAGGAGTTAGATTTTTTTTTTTGAATGTTAGTAATAAATATACGTAATTATAAATGATGCAACATTTCTAACAAATATGATTTTTAAGATCATGTTTTAAAACATTTGCCAT